GGCAACACAGGTAAAGGAGTGGGACACTGATAATTTGGCAATGGAGAGAAAGGGGTGGGAGTATTGAATACTGACATGGTAACAGTAGCCATGACGTTATCACTGATATTGCAGAGAGATTTGCTGGAAGGGGGTGAATGAAAGCTAAAACTAAGGCTACAAAATATCCGAAACACTTGAACAGAGATGTGTATAGAGCATGCAAGATGGGTTACTGCCCACTCCCGTGCTTGCCCTCACCTTGCCGAATTCATTCCATTTCAAGGCTCTTGCTTCTCCGCTACGTCCAGGAGAACAGGATATTCCTCGTCGTCGCTTCATCTGTGACCTCCGCGTCTCTACCTCAGTCCACCCATTACCTTTGGGGTTGTTGGCAGGTGTTGAGTGAGCAAGGCACATCTGCTATTTCTGCTCCTTTTTTGGTGGTTTTTGCGCAAGACCTCTCCAATTTTAAGTTGCGACGTTAGCTACTTTTGAGCTTTTTCTGATAATATGGATGCGATTTCAGTAACTTGCACTTGTTTTGGTACGTTTGCGAAAAGCATAAGTTGCGAAAAATGATGGCATCTTTGGGAAAGGGCTACACCTGAGTGCTCAAAAGGCCGTTGAGGCAGAGCGTAGAACAGTCAAACAGTGGACAGAAGTAACACGTTTAGCTGTTAGTTGAAACCGTCACAGAACGTTGCTTGATTGTGCATGAAACTCTGAGTTACAACAAAAGTACATAGCCCCCTCTGTACTCTTGGTTACAACCATAGCCCTTCTGTCCACTGTTTGAATATTACAAACAGGTTATGTACTCTTCAACTTGATATCACGTAGCATTCCATCAGCATTGGAGATTAGCATCCACCGGGCTAGCATACATGTTACTGTAGCAACCAAAGGTGGGGCCATGCATATAAATGATGGTAAGTAAACAACGGAGAGAAACAAACCACTTTTTTACATTATCGGCCATAGGAAATACGAGAAGGTTTGGAGGAAAACGGGACCGAAAGAACTCCACCACCCACCCCAGAAGCATTACAGATCATATACTCTGGATAGCTACCGAGCCAAGGAGAGTAGTCTTTTGCAATTCTGCCACAGAGCAGTAGCTGGCGAAACCGATGGTGTCAAGGTATCCTACGAGATTGTGCAAAAGCAGAGGTCATTACTCAATGATGCTTTTATCATGGCAGACTTGGAGCAAACACACACCTTCAAGTGCACGCATTTCAGTGCGCCGCTGCTTGGCCGTCTAGTCGTACAGGTGGCACCTGCCACATGAAACACTTTAGGACTAGGCATTGGCGGATAATGCTCGAAAAGGTGGCAGATTCTGCTCGAAAAGCAGTGAAATTGGCAGAACCACACAAACCTTATGGCGGGCAATTCCTCGAATTCTGCTCCATTTCTTTATCCACATACCAAACATGCAAGAAACGTACCAGAAAAAGTACCGAATTCTGCCAATTTTTCTTCCGGCATTATCCGCAAAGGCCTATTTAGGACTAACTACTAGTGTTGAAACGATCTCACCGGATACTCGTTAGCTCGCTCGCCAGAAACTCGGCTCGTTTGTGCGACCAGCTCGTTTGCACTAACGAACACCGTATACCGTACTCCGTACACATGGCAGTACATGTCGACCGGGAAGTCGTAAAAATAATATTTTACGACTCCCTGGTCGATCGAGAGTCCAGACCCGCGCAAAGTGAAAATCACTCGCAGTTACAGTGACTGTATGCCTGCACGACACTTGAGCTGTTTCAGTTGTCGTTGCAGCTTTGGTGGACTCTACTGATATGATGTCTTGTTCCGCATCTGCTGACCTGTCGCAGGATATGCTTCGGTCACCTCTCCATTCGAGTGAAAGTAAATAGTTACGCTCAGTCGTTTGGAAGTTTTCTCCCGCGATGCAGCGAAGACCAGGGCTACTTGCAATCTTTGCAAAACGGTCTATTTTTACAAATGCTACTCGACGACGGCGCTGAAAAGACATCTCGACACCAAACAGCATTCCGAAGTGAAGTAGCAGCAATCCCAAATGCCGGCGGTGATAATTTGAACCAGCTGAAAAAAATCGAACTTAGGAAAAAAATTATTCAAAAAATCATATTTGCCACATCAATGAAACTCGTTAGCTCGCTCGATAGCTTGCTCGTTAGTGGAACTGATCGCTCGTTTGTTATAGATACGCTCGTTTCAACACTACTAACTACACTAGAAGTTTTTAAGTCATATCTGGCTACAATAACAATTTTCCTTCAGCGGCAAGGTGCCGGGTGGTGCATGGCAAGGAAAGATAGAGAGAAATGACATCCAGGATTCCTTGTAGTCTGTCCTTAGGTGGGTACACTGTACTTCTGCTGTTTCCCTTTCCGATGGAAACAATAATGTTCTTCATACATCCGTGAACCAATCTCAAGCATGGTCATTTCCAACTGACATGATATTTCTAGAGGGAATTATAACCTGGAAATATGCACTGACATTTCAAAGGATTCGTTTCTGCTTGGTCTGCCAGCGAGGGCGTTGAGAATGGCAGAACAATTACCATTCAAAGACTTATTTAGGCGGGTAGAACAGGGGCAGGAGGAGCAAAGTTGAAACTCATACGATTTCTGAGAACTTAATAAGATCCACCATCATTCTGAATAGGCAGGAGGAAGCGACCTCAGTCCTCTGCTACTCATTCCCGGTCGAACTACTTGTAGACATGACATGTGAATACGTGTAGTACGATGCAGATTGTAGGCAATGCAGGCAGTCCCCGTATGGAAGGCAGAGAATGAGGGAATCAGGGACCTACATATTTCAAGTGCAGTGCATTTGGCTCCTTCATGAGCATTGAGCAATGATCGAATGTGTCCGATGCACGATTCACTAGCCAGTACATGTATTACGTTTATCACTGGATATTATAAATTAATGTAATGGGGAGTTCTCCTTGGAAGCTTGCTATCAGCTATCAGCGCTGCGCACCCGACTAAGCCGGAACTCGGACTGCCATTCCATAGGCACGATATAATAATACATGACTTTCCTTTTGTACAGCAAGTTTGCATTGTTGGAGCTGTTGTTCGGTGATTGTTTTCAAGCGTCTCACAATAATAGTCACAAAACAATGTCATCCATGGCCATTGATCCCCAAGCCATCCCCGAATTTGTCAGGAAAAGTCCTTAGAATGAAGCGGTAATGTCAGCGTTCGAGACTGGGTTTTAAGGAAAAGTCAGCGCATTGTCCGGGAAAATTGCTCAAGAGGTCTATAGAAGACGCAGCAACAAGCTGTCTAGGCAGGCCCTTTTGTGTGCCTTGGCCACCACTCGGCAACAGCTCAACGACGTGCACTGCCTGGTGTGATGACGCTGTGCCAGCCCAGGGTTTGAGGAATGTGAAAGCACCTTCACCATTTACTCGTACGCAACTATCACTGTACATTGTAGTACTAGGGCAGGTGGTGTCATACTACATGATTGTACATGTAGTGGAAGCCACTTGCAGTACGATCAGGCAGCACCAAAGCCAGGCAGCATCATAATCATACGGATTCATAGGGCCTAAGTAGTTTCTGTTGTTGTTGTTGTTGTTGTAACTAGGCCATGCAGACACAACATACCAGGGTATGCGAATCAAAGAGATTACTTGTACACTGCAATGTTTACTTATCCGGTAGCCAATACAGTGTTCGGTAGGGCATAGTCATTCTTGAGGAAAATTACATGCTCGGAGTACTGTAACTAACATTCGATTGAATCTCTGACAGGAAAAGTATTTCTTTCGCAGTAAAGCATTCGTTTGCTCAGAATAGATCATTTCAAAAACCTACCACAAGCGCCCATGGAAAGGTAGCTACCGCAGTACCGGTATTGTGTTGACAGTGAAGCTGACAACGAGCAATAAATCGAGAACTACTACTACACTGTAGTACAGTGCAGTACAGTGTAGTAGTAGTGTACCATACAATACCTGGTGAATGAATGGACAATGATTTCAGTGCGGGACAGTGGTTTTAAGTGCAGGCAGGAGTGTAAATACCTATTCTAAAAGCAGTCAGTTTATATTAGTACTTTTCCCTAGTCTCTATGACTAAAGGGTTTACCGGATGTTAGCGGCCGTCGTGAGTTCCCTTCGCGAATGGACACGATAATTAACTTATTTTAAAACTTGTTTTATGACTAAACTCTCTCCGTTTTATGACTAAACTCTCTCCGTCTAAAGTACATGTATGAGTATGCTAGGAGGCTGTTTTCTTCTTCTCAATGTGCTGTGTGACGGTGAGACTCGCCCAAGGCAGGTGCGGACACTGTGTCACCTCCGCCGTATGCGCTCCACATGACTACAAGTTAATTCTTATTCTGTGAAGAGTGGTCAAGGCTAGCTACATGTAGCTGTAGCTGCAGGCGATGACATAGTCAAAGTGACAAACTGCTAAAGGCAAAGGGTCTAAGTGCATCGGGTCATTCAGACTGCTCAGTCAGAGTCAGTGCCGGATGTGAGCACCTTGGCTTGAGATCATTACGGAAACAACTGACGTGTTTGTAGTAGGTACAGCAATAGCCTGGTA